AGTCCATATATGATATAGATACAAACATATTATTGAAATGGGTGTAAAACTCGACTTGAATGTTTCTTGTTGGCTGTTAAGTATAGGTACATATAAATGTACCTCAAACTCATTCATGAATAGATGTTTAGATACTTTAATTTGTAAATTATATAGTAGGTATCATAAGTCATAAAGACATAAGTTGTAGACTATAATGCCTATAATGTATAGCCTTATAAGACAAGTACTCTAATTAGTTTTATTAAATTATTTCCGTAATAAAGAAATATTATTATTAATAATATAATTATTTAAATATATAATGTATTAATGTATACTATATAAATTTATTAAATTATTAAATTAAAATTTACTAATGGAGTAACGGGTACGCCGGGTACGGTCTACTATGGTACTACTCTACGCGTAATGTATGGTGTATTGCATGGTGTCGTATAGGTACTCGTACTTATAAAACTTAAAACAAAGGAAACCATTTATTAATGGTGGCCTCCCAGAATAATTTTCTTTGGTCGGCGAACAAGAAAAAAAAATACGCAAAAATTGTTAATAATAGACGTTTTAGTGTTGTGTTACCTATAAATTTATAATTTATTATTATTTTAGTTCATTGTTTTTTCTAGAGCTGGCGGTATTTACAGTATACCGGTGAGTCACCGGTATTTGGAATTACCGGTATTTAAAAATACCGGTATTTGAATATTCCGGTATACCGGTATTTTTCGGTAYGGCGAGTAAAGATACGGTATTTATCGAATGTACGGTATTTACCGAAGAGACGTTAATTATCAAAGAGACGGTATATACCGAAGGAACGGTATTTACCGAAGAGACGGTATTTACCAAAAAATCCCGAATTACCGGTATACCGATAGAAACCGGTATGTAAATACATACCGAATACCGGTGAGTGAATTTCACATACCGCCAGCTCTAGTTTTTTCTATATTCTTTCCTGGCGGAGGTTGTCAAGTTTCTTGGATAATCTATGTCCTAATTCTGTAACGATGCCCGTAACAAAATACTAAAGAATACTAAAATATATTCAGGAAAAACCAAAATAAGTAAATGAAAATTTGTTAAATTTATATAGTGACCTTGGCCATAGTGACCGTCTTCCTTTGATTATATTTGATTACTTTTATTTTTTTTTTTTTCTAAAAATGTTAATGAAATTATTGTCAAATGTCAATCAGTTAGTATTCATTCAGTCAAAAAGTAGAAACTAGTAATACATGTATCCTCACTTATTCCTAATAGGTACATTTTTATTGTAGCTATTTAAAAATAATAACGTTAATATGTAAGAACGATGTTTTATTATATGCTTTTAAAGTTTATATTTTGACAAAACCACAAGTTATTTCAAATCTGTAGTTAAAAATGTATAAAATGTTTAATTTGTATAGCTAAGCTTGATAGGGGCTTTTTTATAAGTAGTTCATATTTTTACCAAAAAATTACTGACCCTTTTAGGAGAAATTATATGCAAGTAAAAATGTGTTTTTGCAAAAATGAATTCAACTAACCTGTTACATAGGGCCCATAGGGGTATAGATAATTAATAGTTATGGATTAGGTATAGCTAATCCGACGAGATATACATGAATGATGAATTTACTTTACGTTCTTGCTTACTAGTTAAAACTTGATGAATATTTATTTTTCTAATTTTCTAATTATATGGTCAATGGAGAGGGCTAAAGCTCGTTAATTTTCCGCTGTAAACTTCACTGATTTAAGTACCTTCTATCTATGTAAAACTTTCATATACCTACCCATAGTAGATATCCCAATTATCCCATTATACTTGTTCGATATGTATTATATGTGCATACACTATTTAGTAATAATATTTACATTTGTGTTACCCATACCATTTATAATATAATGGTATATTAATATCCATATTATTTCACAGTTTATAAACATTCATTATAATTATTTGTTGGTTACTTACCTAGTACCTAATATTAATACTTATTACTAATTAGCATATAATATAAATTAGAAGTACCTATAATACCATTGTATCAATATGACACGTCATTATTCATTATACAAATTTATTAATCACAGAATAAAATAAAAAATTACATGATAAGTAGGTACCAATTCAATACATAAATTATATTAGAATTGTCTGACTCGTACTATCACACATAAACATACAACCTACCTATATTAACTATAATAACTATATCTATTATTTATAATAATATACAGGGTGTAACAGAAAGATATGACAGATTTGTGTAAGATTTACATGTAAATCTGTCATATCTTTCTGTTGCACCCTGTACATAATAGGTATATCCACAGMCTGGCTAGTGGCTATAACAGGATACTATATACAATAAAATATATGAATTGTGTCGATATATTCACCTGAATAACTTTTACTCCCTATTCACTTAGGGCCAGTTGTACGACCGTTTACGGTTAAACTTCGATTATGCTTAATCAGCTGATAACAGATATTTAACCGTGCAAATTCGGCCGATTAAACTCCGGTTAACTTTAATCAGAGATGGTACAACTAGCCCTTAGTGTTTAAAAATTTCATGAAATTTAAAATAGTGAAATATTTAAAATTAATTGAAATATTTCAGTATTTTAATAAATTTTGTTTTTTTTTTTAAATAAGTTATTTTTACGTATTTAGTTGTCATAATTTACTTTAATAATTTTATACTACTGAAGCCAATCACTAATTACCCATTACCTACCTACTTAATAGTGATGGTTTTTTTTGTTGATATTATACCTTTAAAATAGTATTCAACATTTTTAAATTGATAAAAAAAAAACATACAAAAATGTTTAAATGATACTATATTAAGTATATACTGAATGCTCACACTAGTGCACCATAAACTTCTATAAAATTATATACTTATTATAGATTTACATATACAAATATAAATGTGGTATGCAGGTACATGGCCAAGTTTTTAATAGAAATAATAGTGATAACTAGTAGATAAATACTGAATATAGTTTAGTTCAGTAGATATACCAATATAAGTTATAATTGTTATAAGTTTATATGATTGGCAAAAATAAATTATTAACTGTCAACAGTGTAATAAATAATACTACTTTTATTATAATATATTTAGTCACAACTCACAATAATAGAAGTAATAGAACCATCATTGCATTGTCGTCGATGATAAGCCATTCCCGGGAAAAAAAAAAACAATTTTTGCTATAAACAGCCGAAAACAAGACCCTAATTTAATATAAATTGTATAATAATATCA